TTGCTACATTGAGGTTAAGATTTCTGTCAATTTTTTGTGTAATTCTAWTGTTTAGATTGTGCATGGCATGAAGAAAGTGCTCAGTACATATTTTATGTGAAAGTTAAATGGATAAATACATTTCCTTAGGTTTAAGGAAAATTTAATATATGGTTGTTACTTTCATTGGTATTTATACCATTGTTTTTTATGGCTTAGACTAGTACATGTTTTTATTTTTCTCCTTAGAAATACTAACTTATGTTATTTACATTTTTAAAAATATATTTCTAGTTGTAGATGGACAGAATACATTTATTTTATTTATTTATTATTTATGTGGTGCTGAGAATTGAACCCAGTTCATCCCGTGTGCTAGGTAAGCACTCTAGCACTGAGCCACAACCACAGCCTATGTTATTTACATTTTGATTAGTTTTAAAATAGCAATTATGGGTTTCAGTGCATTAACCTTTTTTTATTCATGTTTATTTATTGACTAACTAGAATTTGAAAGCCTACTCCGTGTACTCAGAACTACGAAGAACAACATGTAGATACAAAGATAGAACAAGGTGAAAAACACTAGGACATGATCCCTGGGGATCTGTTCTCAGGGACTTTACTTCCATAGTGAGGAAGACAAATCAGACAAGTGCATCAATATGCACAAATTCTATGAAATAGCATATAATAACATGCATATATATATACATATATATATATGCTATTGTATATATAGTATACATATGATATATACATCAATTATTGTTTTTCTAAGATGGACCTATTTTTATAATTCTAAAGGAAAATAAAAATCTAGAAAACAAAATACTTTCCAAAGAGACAGCCTTTAAAAGTGTTCTTTGAAATGACCAAGTGTACCCTTGACTACAGCATATAATCTGAGTGCTGTTTTTAACATTTCTATTTAGTCATTTGGTCTGAAGCCAGTGTTCCAAAAGAACAATTATATGAAACTTTAAACCCTGAATTGTCTGATTCTATGAAGAAGCAGAAAAATAAACATAATTTTTGACAAAAACTTCACAAGTCTTGAGATTTAGGAATTTGCTGAGGGATAATAGCTAAAAATCGTAAGTGAAAAGCTTCTGAAAAGCAGATTATTTGTAATTTTGTGAACCAAAAATTAAATTTACGCTCACTTACAGGATCTGACTTGAAAACTCTTAAAGGCTGGATTCAGTCATACAGACTGAGTCTTATCAGAGCCATAATTTAATCATGACTTAGTACATTACCATATTGGATTAAAAGGTCATATCACCAATGAAGTTGATAGTATCAAGGAAGTTGAGCATCTTTAATAAATGAAGCTAACACAAGCAGAAAGAGAATGTCTGCCTAGTGCACTATTAATTAAATTAATTGAATCCATTGCTAACACCTTCACATAAAGAGGCTAATATTTCTAAACATTTAAAAAATAATGCCAGTGTTATTTAAATTTTTTTATAATGAAAAAAGAGGATATGCCTCTCAACTTATTTTTAAAATGTTTTAAAATCTGATGGGGACATTTTAAAAAYATAAATGATAGGTTGATCTTTCTCATGAATTTAGGGATATAATTATTTTAAACAAAGTAYTAGCATTTAGTGATTAAAAATAGTAATATGTCATCAAATGTTTTTCAGTAATATAAAATAGTTTCATATGTGAGAAATTATCAATATAATTCTCTACACTAACAACTATAGAGAAACAATATCTTGGTCATCTTGATATATGCATATAAGCATTTAATGGAATCACTGCCCAATGTGAATAAAAGAAAAGGATGGAACCTAAAGTCAATATCATAATTGATAACTTGAAGCTCCAGAGATAAAGAATGAGATGGCTTGTATGGAATATTGTATTAAGGCCCAGAGTGATGCATGAAGACAAAAATAAAATATATATGTATTCTACAAAGACTAAAAATAAAAATGCCCTATTAGCAGAATATTTTGTTGTGGACAAGGAAGAATTATTAGACCTAATAAGTAAATTAACCAAGGTTGAGATAATCAATGTATATCGAATCAAATGTATTTGTATGTACCTGCAAAAAAATAAATAGAAATTAAAAAGAAATCATCTGYTGTCATAGTATTAAAACAGTCATGTATCAATCTAATTAAAAGTATGAGACACCTGTACACTGAAAACTACCAATTATTATTTGAAGAAATTCTTTAAAATATTTATATTAATGGTGGGTATAACATGTTCTTAGATAGTTGTCTCAATATTTTAAATATATTAAATATTAAATATATTAAATATATTAAATATATATTAAATATATTAAATATTTTAAATATATCCATTTTGTGAAAATTGGCAGATATTCTAAATTTTTAATGACATGCCAAATATAAAGAGTAGAATAAATTAAGATCATATCAAAAGGAGGAACAATGCTACATGGTTTATACTTACAGATAATCAAAATTTATTATGGTCTTCTATAATTATGATTTTGTAGTATTTGTTTCACAAAAAAATCATTTAGAACAGAATTGATAAGCCATACACAGGGTCATATTTATATGGTCACTTGAWTTATGACAAAAGTGGCTTTTCCATAGAGTGGCTAAGTATGTTGTTTTTAATARGTATTGATGTACCAACTGGATATCCAATATGGGGGAACAGTGAATTTCAATTTCTGTTTCCCTTCATATATAAGAAATCAATTCAAGCTGCATCATGAATCTAAATGTTATAAGTAGTAACATTTTTGGAAGAAAGCATAGGTACCTATCTTTATGACAGGCAAGGAACTTAGAATGTAAAAGAATTAGCTACTATAATAGAATAAATACTTGATAAATGGAACTTCAATATGATTAAGAACTTTTGGGTTGAGGGTATTTCTCAGTGTTAGACTGCTTGCCAAGCAAACATGAGCCATAGGTTTCATCCCCCATACACCCCACCCAAATGAGAGCTTTTTGTTAAAATACATTATTTTGAAAGTGAAAAGAATGGAAAGTTACAGTTTTGATAAAGATTATTTGCTTTGTATATATTGAACAAAGAATTGCATCCAGAAATATAAATAACTTTATCAAAAAATAACAGATAGGCAGGTAACCAAATATTAAGAGGTCTTTTGATGGGAAGTTCATAGAACTATGCAGATTTCAATCAGAATTTGAAAAAGTATTCAACTGTATTAATCAGCATAAAAGTGCAAAATAAAACTGCAGTTTGACCCTACCACACCTCAGTCACATTAAACATGAATTGCTTGTGAAGATTTTTATCCACCAAAACTCCTATTTGGAAGATACAATTTAGGCTCCTCAGAAATGTTTCATGGTATCTACTAAAAGTGAGTAAACATACTCTATAATGTTGCATTTTCAAGAAAATGTTAGTAATGTTTAGGAAGAGACACAAGAGGGCTCCTGTCTTTCTGACAATGTACCATTTCTTGAATTCAGCTGATTAAAAGAGTGTGCTAATTTTCTAAAAATATATTTATCTGTTTACCCTTATGGGTCAGGCCCTTTATTATATAAATATTTTAGTCAAATAAAAATATGAAATTCTATTAAAATTAATTGCAAAAATTAAAATTTCCATTATTAATGAAAGTAATGAAATGGTGATATTCATTTGTTAAATCAAAAAAGGAAGCATCATTTACACTTATTTATTTAAAGAGTATCTAAATGTGGGCTATTTTACATTGCAGAAGTTTATGTTTATTCAGTTTATGTTTAAGTTTATGTTCATTTATGTTTATGTTTTGTCTTATGAGAAAAGCACTACAGTTATATGAGTAATTGTAAGTAGTGTAAATGCATCTGTTAATACTTAAATGATCCAGCAGAGTATTTTATATTTAAGCCTGCTTTTATTAAACTGGTTCCTGGAATCTTGAATAAATCATGTATTAAAGTGCATATTAAGGAGCATACCATAATAGCATTTATATCTAATTTTAACATCACAGTCTTTTTAGAGAATTTAAGCATCTCAAGTACTAGAAAAACTGGTGATATCTGTTTCCTTATTTGATGTATTAGGTCACGAGACCCAATGTGGATCTAAAAACTACCATAAATTTAGGTAATTATGAGTATAGATAATATTTTGAGATATCAGCTATAACTTATAATTTGGGTCTCTTATAATCTGAAATATATTACTCTCATTGGCAAAACTACAAGCCCTAATAAAATTATTGTGATCTGCTACTTACTTTCATAGTTGAAGGAAATTACATATGTTAGTTATAAGATAAAGTGAATATTTGTTTTTATCCCATTGAAGAGCAAAGGTGTTCAGGGTCATGAATTTAAAGATTTTATGTGGTTTAAACAAATCACCCTCACACATGTGTTGTAGTGGTTGATCTGTGACTTCTGGCTTATATATTCTCCGCCCCCCCTCTCTTTTAATGCCTAGGATCTTTGAGATTAGTTTTTCAAATATACTTTTTTTTTTGTCTCATAGGCCCAGCCCGCATAAATATGATCTCTCAGCTATCCCTGGCCGTATTTTTTCATGATTTCTTCCATCTCTAAACATCTGCTGAAGTTACTGTTATACAGTGTGCTTCAAGCAGTTAAATACTTATGGGGATATAAGTGCTTTAAACTAAAAATGTAGGCTTTTGGTGATATAAACTAATAAAGGAATGAGTTTTWGGAAATCTAGATCATTATAGATCCTTATCAGGTCTCACTGAAACATCAAAAATCTCATCTGTGCTTTTGACTAGCTCAGGTTGGCACTTATCAGATTGTCTGTCACGATGCCAGATACTTTACGTATGTTATCCGATTTAACCATTAGTGTATCTCTTTAGTAGAGTTGGTATCTCAGTTCTATGGACATGGAGTCTGACAGGAAAATAAGTAATTTACCCAAAGTTCCATGGTTATATGTTTAGTAAATTTGAAAACTTTTAAAGTGGATGACCATTATTTWWAAAAAAAAAATACATCATTTTAGTATTCTCTGATTTATATATTGAAACATCATAACCTTTTTTTCAGTGTATAGTCTTTGCTATGACATCTGGCCAAATGTGGAATCATATTCGTGGACCTCCATATGCTCATAAGAACCCACACAATGGACAAGTGGTAAGCGTGTTTTCTAACCATTGGTATTCTAAACTTAATTCCTACTTAATGATAGGAATCAGAAATTAGGTTTACCATTTATAATAGAGGATTCTATTCATAACTATATATTTTGTTTATTCTCACTACCCCTGTCACATGTTTACATGTGCGTGTGCACACACATGACCACACACATGCTCACACACTCATACACTATATAACTTTTTTTTAGGATGAAGACTGCTCTCATGTTGATTTTTAAGATCAATATATCTATCACATCAATATATGTGATGCATATTCTACTTTTTTAACTTCATAAATTGCTATGGTGATAACATGTAATGCCACAAAAGAAAATGCAAACACCTTGTAGYCAGTGTACCATCAATGGTAAATTTAACATACTTCACAAAAGGTTAATTAAACCATCATTAAGATTCCTAGCTGTCATTATGGTAGAATGTTAAGAATCCTGTGCCAGAAAATGAAAAGTGGAATTGATATGTTTTTAAATTACTGGCAGATTTCACATTAGTCATCACTCACTGATCCTGGATTCACTTGATATGTTTATTGCCTTCCCTTTTCTTTTGATGGRTAGGAAATACTGTAATAGATCAGTATAGCCTAGTACTTTCCATGAAGCTTAGTATTAGGATGGTGAAGGTTCAAAATACTTTTAAAATACAGATTTTTCTCTAACTTAAAAAAAAAAAAAAACTTATTTTATCTGTTCTCTCACTTTGTTCTTTTCTCTTGCTGCTGGAGTTTTTGGAAATGAGTGCTTACATTACATTTCATATATAAATGTTTCAGTAGATATCCCTTGATGGGAGATAGCTTAATCAGGTTTTAGGAACTAATTGCATATTACCAGAATAGCAGTCATTTATACTGTATAATAAGCAATTTGGTCTTAACCTTTTTGCAACATTTTCAGATTTCTCCTGTAGATGGTAAAGTTACAGTCAGCATTAGACTATATGGATAATCATCTGCCATAAGTTAATCACACATGACTTTTATATTGTTGATGGTTTTGAAATGTCATTATATAAAGAGAAGAATGATTTCAAAATGCCGTCAACATTCAAAATCAAGTTATTACAAAGAAAATTGGATAGTTATGGAGCAACAAATCATTCCCTTATCTTTAAATCTTCACATAAATTCAATCTCATCAGTGATACTATTCCCTACCACCCTGTTTGAAAAGTCCTTTCTTCTCTTTCACCCTAGTCCTTATACTCACTTTCTCCTTTTCCTGTTTTATTTTTCCTTAATAGCATTGATCACCTTATAATATGATGTAATTTACATATTTTGTGTCATTTCTGTTGTCTTTCACCTTGACTCCAATATTATATATAAGCTTCTGACAGCACATATTTTTGTCTGTTCTGGGCACTGATATATTCCTATCATATAAAAATGGGACCAAAGCAAAGATTTGGTCACTGTTATGTTAATGGTATTTTTAAATGTGTATGTTTAGGAAATCTCATAAATTTATCATTACTGATTTTTTAAATATTTTTAGTTGTAGTTGGACATAATACCTTTGTTTTATTTTATTTACTTTTATCTGGTGCTGAGGATCGAACCCAGGGCCTCGCACATGCTAGGCAAGCGCTCTACCACTGAGCCACAACCCCAGTCCCATCATTACTGCTTTTTTTTTTTTTTAAATAAAAAATCTTTTTACTCTTGACTTTTATTATTTAGTAAAACTAGCTTTAAGGGAATTAGGATTTATATAGTTTTGGTTAAGCAATAAGTTTTATTTTAAAGTTTTACATTACATTCCAAATTTCAATTTTTTTAAAAAAAGCTGAACTTAGATAATATAAAAACAACAATGTAACTATGATAATTATTACTCACTTGGTATATATTAATTGTATCTTTATCTATCCAGTGTAAAAGTCTTTAAACTAAGATTTCTTTAAAAAATTTTTAAATTGTTCTTATTAGTTATACATGACAGTATTTTGACACATTGTACATAAGTGAAACACAACCTCTTATTCCTGTGGCTGTACATGGTGTAGAGTCACACCRGTAGTGTAATCATACAAGGATACAGGGTAATAATGTCTGTCTCATTCTACCATCCTTCCCATCCCCACAATCTTTATTATTTTTTAATATTCTTCTAGAACAGCATGTCTTAGGCTAAAAAACTCTTTTTATTAATGTTTCTATTTCATTAAAGTATATAAAATTGATCGACTTTCTTATGTAATATTTTAATATGTCTACATGATCTCTGTCCTTGTTTTCTTTACCGTTTTGTTCTGCCGGTCTGTCCTCTTACAATGGTTTACTGAAGTATGCTTTAATGATGAAACTTGCACTGATAATGACAACAAAAGCTACCTATTGATTACTGAATGTCAGGCACTAGGCTATGTAAATGAATATTTTAGGCTATCACATGAATATTCCTAAACCATACTTTTGTGGTAATTATAATAGTGATATATGTGCATTTCAGTTACCACTTAAGTTGGAAATCCTAAATGGCTCCTGATTTCCTGCTCATTATAACTTTTCTTTTCAACCTGATACTCTGCTACTTTGTAGAGAAACTCAGTGTTAGCCTATTTGTACTGTTCATTTTTCTCCAAAGACATGATTCATTTTTCTGCTTCCATTTCTGGAGTATTCATTACTTTTGAAAAATCATGCCCACCATTCAAATATCATCTAATCTACCATTCCTCTGAGGTTCATTCCTTCTTTCTGTGTTGTCTCTCTTATATATATTTATGAATATATTGTTAATCTATTTAGATATTATAAGCTTTCTTTTAGTAGAATAATTTTTAATATTGCTAACAACGCTTATTAGTCAAATCCTTAAACATACAGTTTCTCTTAAGCTGTTTTTCATCTGTAAAACATGCATATAGCTGACCCTCAATAAATATTTTAGTATATAATGGATCCATGTGGGAAATTTTTGTTTCTTATATTGTATTATGTTAATTCTCTTTTAAAATWTTTTTTACTCACTAGTCAGGTGAATGATAAGATCAACGTGTCAGTGTGAATTCAACATGAATTGGTTAGTAACCTTAATGTGCCAGGAACATTTATTTTTAAGGAACATTTACAGATTAAGAAAATTATTTTATCCCTCTCACATTTTTATGTTACCATTTGAAAGATTGGCACGGCTCTTGAGAAAAGGTACTCTGAAGGTACACAGAGAAGCATAATAATAAAATTAAAATTTTCTGTAAAAACCATTTTCCTCATGTATAAATCTAATTTTCAAATATATTTATTTATCTTGTTAACACTTTAATAAAGAATTTAAAGAAGCTGAGCTTATAGAAGTAGAGTAAAATAGTGGTTACCAGAAGCTAGGGAGGGGAACCAAGACAGGGAAGGAGTTGAGAAGAGATTGGTAAAAGTGTATAAATTATAGTTAGATAGGAATAAGTTCTGGTGTTCTACTGCACCATAGGGTTACTATAGTTAACAATATTGTATGTTCCAAAATAACTATAAGAGGATTTGGAGTATTCTTACACAATGATGAATGCTTGAGTCAATAAATATGCCAAATAACCTGATTTGATCATTACACAGGGAGTACATGTATCAAGACATCATTGTGTCTCATAAATATGTACAATTATTATGTGTCAAAAATAAAACTTATAGTGTCCTTGTACTAAATTTTGCAAACTTATTCATAGGAAACTATTATACCCCAAAAGCAGCAATAGGATTATAATTTTTTTTTCAGATTTGCTAAATGATTGATGTCAACTATATTTTGATTTATGTTCAATGGATTGAGAAGTTTATGCTAAAACTATTAATGAAGAATTATGTCCTTTACTACTGAACTTTTTAAATGCTTTAGATTTTCACTATCAGATTCTCTATAGTTTCATGAAATATTTTCTCACTTTCTCTGAAGACATAGTTTCTAAAAACAATTCTGAGTAGGGATGAGTTATTTTGTGTCATGTTTTTCCTGTATTTGTGAAGTGTTTTTTTTTCCCAATTATAGCAAGAACATTTAACATTAGATCTACTCTCTTTAAATTTTAAGTGTACAACATTTTAACAATAAGCAAGATTTCCTGGATTTATCTTGTGAGAGTTTTTCCTTTTTGAGTATTAATATTTCCCCATTTCACAAGTACTAGGTGCTTAGCCATCACTATTATACTCTCTACTTCTGAGTTTTGACTGTTAGATACCCTAAAAAAGTGGAACCCTGCATTTTTTTGTCCTTTGGTATCTAGGCTATTTCACTTAGCATTTTGTCTTCAGGTTTCATCCATGTGTCATGTATGATAAGATTTCCTTCTTTTTAATTCCCGAATAACACACAATTATATGTATATGCCACATTTTTATTTATTAACCTGTTAGTGGATATTTAGTTTGTCCCATTTCTTGGTTATTGTGAATAATACTGCAGTGAGTATAAGAGTGCAGATTTCTCTTTGAAATTCTAATTTAATATTTGGGACAAATACATAGAAGTGGGATTCTTGGATCATATAGTATTTCTGCTTTTACTTTTTTGAGACATTTCTATACTGTTTCCCATTAGATGTACCATTTTACTCTTCCACTAACAGTGTATTATGCTTTTCTTTTATCCACAACCTTGCCAACGCATATGTATGTTTATTTCATAATAGCCTTCCAAATGTATATGCGAAGATATCTCATTGTGACTTTCATTAGCATTTACTTGGTGATTAGTAATGTGGAACAAACAGTTTTTTATGTATATATGGGCCATTTGTATGCATTTGTTGGAAAAGTATCTATTCAGGTTCTGTGTTCCTATTTTAAATGTAGTTGTTTGTTTTTTTGCTGTTGAGTTTTAGGAATTCCATATATATTTTGGATAGCAGCCCATTATTTGATGTGTGATTTGCAAATATTTCCTTTCATTCTGTAGATCACCTTTTCTCTTTATTCTTTGTTTCCTTTGTCATGGAGTTTGATGTGGTCCTACTTATCTATTTTTTACTTTT